TGCATCACGTATATATGAAGGACCCCGTATGCAAATCCAGCATCCTATATGGAGGAAAAAAATTATTTCGTTAAATATATGTGTATGCATATATATACATATATTTAAGCACATTCTCTGCACAACATCCTGCAAAACGGCTCAAACAACCCGATTTTAATTCATTCATTAGTTTAAAGACTTCCGAGCTTTCCAAAGAATCTTATTCTTCTTCATTATTAATTTAAAAAACATTTTCGTTGCGTTAAATAAAAACAACACAACAGCAATTGGCGAGCAACTTAATCTATACAATGATTTGCTTTATATTGAGTTTTCACATTTGGCTATCTGGGTATATAATCGATTTTACTCTAATATCATTTGTGAGTTTGATTAAAATTTTATTTTATGTGTATCTATAGGTTGAAGTGGAGGATTCGGGCGTACCGCGAATGAAGAGCGAACACACCGTCACCGTGACCGTTACCGATCAGAACGACAGCCCGTCCTCACCGAGATCGGTGCACGTGATCGTGCACTCGTTCAACAGCAAGACGCCCATCGGAAAGATCGCCGACGTGCATCCAAACGATCCTGACGTTACCGGGCATTACTCTTGCAAGATTCTTCAGGGCTCGAGTTCGCGCGTGCTCAGCATCCCCACCGCGTGTAACTTGCACACTAACAAAATCACTTCAGGCAAGAGCATTTGTGTGTTACAAGTATATTTAGTATTTTTATCTCTAGACATACCCTAATAGGCACATTTGTGAAAATATTGCACAAAAATGGCATCACGAATGGCGACGATTTTGCAACGTTTGCGCTAAGATGATTCGCCATAACGCAACAGTTTTGTCGAAATAAAATTTTGTCAATAATATTTGTCAAAAATTGCGAAAAAGTCGTTATGCATTTCCACAATATATACCTTCAATAGGCGAATTGTGAAAATATTGCACAAATATGACATCATGAGTGACGACGATTTCTCGCATTTCTTCATACGCAATCATATTTCTACATATTTTAAACATCACATAGCTGAGAATTTCTTTTCTCAATTACTGGACAATTTCTTTGTGAAATTAATTTTGCAAATATACCGCCAAGATGATTCGCCATATTGTTATTCTTTTGCCGAAATAGTATTTTGGAAAGTAATTTTGCAAACAACTACAAATATTTCAGAAAAGATCAATGTTTTTGCATCTATTTCCTAAAATATATCTGTATAATTGCAAATTACAATTTTAGCGCAAGATTTCGTCACATAATTTTGTAAATGGTTTCCTATCAGGGTAATAGATATAATATAATATTTTTTCTAGATATAATATATATTTTTTTTTACTAACGTCTTACGTTTTTTTTTATGTCGGTACAGAAATCGGCTATTCGTTGAGCGTTTCCGGCAACGACGGGCGACATCCCGACGTGATTTCCAAAGTCACCGTTGAATTTTTGATCTTCTCAAATTCTACAATTGAGAACAGCGTAACTCTGCAAATTTCCAAATTAAACGCCTATGATTTTCTCAGCCATTATTATCGAGCTCTTCAGGATCTCTTGCAGGAGAACATCGATGTCGGTGATACGTTCGCTATTTTCAGCATTAGTGAATCGGGATCAAATCTAAACATTCATCTGGCGGTAGAATCTCCGCAAGGTAAGTCAAAAAAAAATTACTCCAATAAATATATTATTCATATAAAATTTAATAGTAATTGTAATCAAAAATGTTTTTTTGACATTCTCTTCAGGATATCGTGCGAAGTACGAAGTGACCGATCTGCTGATGCGCAATCGGGATCAAATTCAGGAGTTATTCGAAAATAAATCTTTTTCCATCGGTTATTCACCGTGCAAGAGCATGCCGTGCGAGAACGGAGGCAGTTGCAGCGATCGATTGGCCATATATGATGATGCCAGAATCACGGATAGCCAGTCGCTGATCCTAACGTCGCCCAAAGTGGTGCACGAGATGATCTGCAAGTGTCGGGACGGTTTTATCGGCGATAAGTGTGAAAAAAGACAGGATCCCTGTTCGCCAAATCCCTGTTTACCGGTGAGCATTTGTCAAAATCTAGCAGAGAACGTTGAACGCTTACCAAATTTATTAAAATATTTAATGAAAGAACATGTTTTTTTTTTTTTTTTTTTTATAGGGAGGACAATGCCGACGTTTGGGTTATGATTTCCAGTGCATTTGTCCAATCGATCGTGACGGTAAACTGTGCGAGCTCGAAAGGGGTGACGTGTGTGCCAGCAATCCGTGTAGGAACGGCGGTTCGTGCAAAAAGAGTCCGGACAGTTTCAGCTTCTTCTGTTTGTGCCGAGCAGGCTACAGAGGAAATCACTGCGAGGCGGTTACCGATTCCTGTCGACCAAATCCTTGCTTGTACGGCGGTTTGTGCGTGGGAGAGAAACCTGGGTTTGTTATTACTTATTGTTCTTTACTTTCCCAGCAAACAATTTGGTTGTCAGATGTCGCGATTTTGTCGCCAACCGCCACACCAAATCCATATCCATCTGTGTCCCCAGTAGGATATGGTTTTTATTGGTGAGTTTTGGTGACCATGTTGCGTTTTTTTGTGTCTGTGTGTCAACAGCTTTGGCAGCACACAAAGCATGTTTCCGTATTGTAGCGTTTCCGCACACAGTTTCTGTTGCCAAAGTCTGCGCAGTCAGAAATTGTTTGCTGGGTTATAATATACTCCCAGCAAACACAAAGTAACAGTTACGTAACATCAATGTTATACTTTCCCACTCAATGATGTAACTGCTACGTACAAGGCATGTTACATTGCAGTTACATCATTGACCCGGTAAAAAATTTTTCATATATACTTATACACAAATTAAAATAATTATATCTAATTATGCAAATTTATATGTGGCCGAATATGTCCATACAATTTTACACACGGAGAATTTCTTTTTTTAAGAGAATGGCTTCAGAGATATTTCATATCAAATTACAAAATAACTCTATTAGTGTCATGTTAGATACAAAAAAATTATCTAAAACTAATTTTTACTATATTTTTAAACAATTTTTGATATATAATTATATATACTTTTACACAAATTAGAATAATTATATCTAATTATGAAAATTTATATACCAAATATGAACCGGCCCAGTGGTCTCGCGGCCTGAGTGCGAGGGCTGCGAGTGGGAGGTCCCGAGTTCGAATCCACACCATCGGATTTTTCCGGGTCGGTCTCTTTCAAGTCGAGTTTATCGACTGAAAAGCGAACTGAATCGGGCCTCCGAATAGATCGTGGATACAAATGGATCGTGGATATAGAAGTGGAGTGTTGAAAAATATTGTAACCCTGAGGGGAATCAATTAAACTTCCTTTATCCTTTATATACCAAATATGTCCATACAATTTTATACATGAAACATTTTTTACCGGGGAGTGGGAAATTATAACATTAATGTTACGTTACTGTTACTTTGTGTTTGCTGGGCTCTTTTTCTCTCTCTCTTTCTCTCAATACTACTATAGCATTTTTAAAAATAAAATAAAAAATTGTCAATGTTATTGCTCAACCAGATATCGATGCAGCTGTCCCGAAGGTCGTTATGGTCGGCACTGCGAGCGTTCGACTTTCGGCTTCGACGAGCTGTCTTACATGACGTTCCCGACACTGGACTCCAACACGAATGACATCACTATTGTGTTTGCGACCACTAAACCGGACGCGTTGTTGCTATACAACTACGCGCCGCAGACTGGCGGTCGTTCGGACTTCGTTGTGTTGGAGCTGATAAACGGCCGAGTTGTCTTCTCGTACGGCGGTGCCAGAAGCGCGATTACCACCGTTACCATCAAAACGGAGAAACCGATATCGGACGGCGATTGGCACAAGGTAACTGCAACTAGAAACGGCAGAGTTGTTTCGCTCAGCGTGTCCGCCTGCAGAGAACACGGCGACGTCTGTGACGATTGCAAACCTGGCAATGGTACTTGTTACGCCAACGATGTGGGTCCCACAGGGTTAGTATTCTAGTGATTTTTTGACCAATCCTAATTTGAGTTGTTTTCAATTTTGAAAATTAAAAAAATTGCAACGTTTGACACACATCCACAGAACTTTGAACTTCAACAATAATCCTCTGATATTGGGTGGTCTGGAGAACGCCGATCCCGTACTAGAACGTCCTGGCCAAGTGCATTCCGACGACTTTGTGGGTTGCATTAATTCAGTATCGATAAACGGAAGAGTTCTAAATCTATCGAATCCGCTGATATCGCGCGGCGTCAAGTCAACGTGCGTCAGATCGCATCGTAGTCCTTGCACGAGAGACGAGAAAGACAATGTTTCTCTTTGCAATAAGAACGTTAACTGTTACGACAAGTGGCACCAGGTGATGTGTCAATGCGGATCCTTGATCGCGCCCAACTGTCACGGCGCCTTGGAAGCCATTACGTTAAGCAATGGAGGATTTATCGAGTTCAAGGTAAAATTTAAACAAATGAGTTTATATAATTCTGTGTGTTTTATGAGCTATTTTATATAATACCCAGCAAACATTTTGGTTACAAAACCATATCCATCTGTGTCCTCAGTAGGATATGGTTTGTTAATCACGTCTGTCAACATGTGAAATGTCAAAATGCGGCCAAAATGATGACAGAGTCTGCCACAAGCAAAGCGAGGCCAAATTATCGCCAACGTGAAGCCAAAATCCGGAACAGGTTTGGTCATTGTCTGTTGGCGCCAAATTGCAAACAGTCCGCACGTATACAGACCTGCTTGGCGTTTGGTGGCAATCTGTCGTCAATGCGTTTAACACAGATCGACCCGACTTTTGTCGTAAACAGATTTCTGATACAATTTTGCGGACTGTTTGGTCACAGTATTGCCAAAAGCAGATCTGCTTGCAATCGACCATCTATTTGTTGTTAATTTCACTGACATATATGGAATCGTTTTGGCTGCAATACTCTCATGTATTTGTCAACAGAGTTGTTGCGTTTTTTCTTTCTGTGTGCTAACAATTTTGGCAGTGTTTCCGTATTGTAGTATTTCTGCAAACAGTTTCCGTTACCAAGGTCTGCGCCGAAATTGTCAAAAACAGAAATTGTTTGCTGGGTATATATATATATAAAACTTTCCTCTCCTCTCTTCCACACACACATTTTTTATTTTTTATATAATCACAAAATTACTATCTCGAAAATGTTGAATTGATAATTGTTTTTTCAAATAGATTTCGGAGAAACACAAACGAATGCAACTTCTGGAATACTTTTACGGCGGTTCCACAATATGGCGCGAAAACCGTAGTAAACGCGATCTCGTCGAGGATACGAGCTTCATTGCAAACTCTTCACCGTTGAAGACAATTAGTCTGATGTTCAGAACCGTAAAACTAGATGGCGTTCTGATATATGCCGCAACCAATAAGCATTTTACATTCATAGAGGTGAGATACATCTTCAATAAAAATTAAATAAATAATAATTTTGATGTAGGTTAACGCTTCAACAATTAAAAAAATATACTTAACTTAACAATGGCTCTTAGAAGCAGACACAGATGTAGAGATGCAAAAATTTTGACTTTGTTTATTATATAAAAGTAAAAGTCGAACGTTTTCGACCTGTGATTTAGATCATTTTCAATACAATAAAGAGTGTTGGTTAAGTAACGCCGGTGTCGACAGACTATAAATGTTCTAGTGAGGCCGCAACGTCATAGTTGCAAACTCGAGCCGGCTAGCACCGAGAGCACCGAGGTGTTGGGAGCCACTGGGAACACGCACACAAGCGAGAAGTCAGCTTCAGTGTGTGTTCCACGCACACGGACGGCGGTTCTCGCTTGTGTGCGTGTTCCCAGTGGCTCCCAACACCTCGGTGCTCTCGGTGCTAGCCGGCTCGAGTTTGCAACTATGCGCAACGTACAGACGGCGTCATTAATTCGAAGAATGGGCGCGGGGATCGGAGGGCAAGCGGGGCGGTTGCTCGTAGCGCCAACGGGCGCCGTACTAACTAACTAGTAGCAATCGGGTGTCCACACCCGTTAGTTAGTACGGCGCCCGTTGGCGCTACGAGCAACTGCCCCGCTTGCCCTCCGATCCTCGCGCCTATTCTTCGAATTAATGACGCCGTCTGTACAAGTAAGAACTGACAAACTGGCGGCTGCACTGTGCGTTATAATAAACAAAGTCTTATAATAAACAAAGTCAAAATTTGCACCTCTACATCCGTGTCTGCTTCTAAGAGCCATTGTTCAGTTAAATATCTTCAAATAAAATTCTTACACAAATGAAACAACATTCTTTACAAACATCCAAGATGTTCATTAGATGTTCGTTATGTCTGGACCTTTAATTCTATTATAAATGTTAAAATTACTTTTTCAATAAATTAAAAATAACTAAAAATAAATTAAATGAAACTCTTAATGTAAGTTTTGTTGTTGTTCATTTCAGCTTCGCAATGGTCAGTTAATTTATGCGTCCCTGTTCGAGTCGCCAGTAAATATGTCGAGCAACATCGAAGGCGGCCTGGCCGATGGACATTGGCACAACCTGACTCTCTACGCTTACTCCCGAGGTCTTAGACTACTGGTCGATAACGTCGTAACAGGCGACGAATTAGATCTGGCCGGTGTTCACGATTTTCTTGACCCGTATTTGTCCGTGTTATCGATCGGTGGAGTTAGCCAGAATTATTATTACGCTCACAGTATCGGTACTAGCTTCGAAGGTTGTCTGGCTAATTTCACGGTCAATAACGAGGTGCAACCGTTCAATGGCTCCGGCTCGATTTTCAAGGATGTGCTCTATCATGGCAAAGTGAGCACCGGTTGTAGAGGACTGGTTGGTATCAGCACGGCGACCGCCGCGGATCCTCTCAGCGTCGGCATCACTTTGGTCATTGTCTTTTTCGTTATCTTGTTAATCATATTCCTCGTGAGCTTTATAGTATTTCGCATTCTGCGCCGACAAAATAAAGAATCAGCTGCGTCGGTCGTCAATAAAAATACCAACGCTATTCTGACTGGCAATCCGCTGGTCAGTGCCGGAAACGATAATCTCATGTCCCGTCACGAGAACACTTACATCTCCGATACGTCGGATCTGCGTGGCGTGGGCCACATGGGTCCCGAACTTATCTCGAAGAAGTACAAAGAACGCGAGATCAATTCCACTACCGAGCATCGGCCGCAACGACCGGATATAATCGAGCGAGAAGTCACCAAGTCGCCACCGATTCGCGACGAGCATCCACCGTTGCCGCCATCCGCTCAAACTTCTCTTCATTCTCACGAACACAATCCGGAACCCGACATTCCCGAACACTACGATTTGGAGAACGCCAGTTCGATCGCGCCCAGCGATATTGACATCGTGTACCATTACAAAGGCTACCGCGATGGAATGAGAAAATATAAAGCTACACCACCTCCCATAGGTGAGAGAAAAAAAGAATATTTTTTATTCGTAGTTTATCTTTAGTTTAAAAGTTGAGAATTATTATGTAATAAAAAATTAAGTAAACAAAAATTTGTACGTAAAATCCCAGATAGCACACTGATGTTTTAAAAACATATTAAAAACATAGGTATTGGACGTTTTGTACATATTTAAAATGTTCAGATTAGGTCCTTAAACATTTTTAGGATATTCTAAAGACGTTCAGTGTGTTACCTTCCTAAATGTTTTAAAATTGTCTATTTTAAGTACATAACGGACCACAAATGAACCTATTTTAAACCTATTTTAAACGTTTATTTCATTGAAAAATATAGGGATTTATATTTTAAAAATAACAAAAGACAAAACTATTTCTTTCTTAATATAATTTTTAATATATTTAGGAATCTCTATTTTAAAAATAACAAATCAATCTTATTAATAAAATAAATATATTAATTAATTATGATATTTTATTTAATGATAAAACTCTTATCAATATGAGCGGTCGTGCTTCTGAATGCACCCAGATTTCAATTTTAATTACTTTGGTGAAGCGGTAGAGCATGATAATCTTGCAACGCGGGTTCGAGTCCCGTTGTGATTTCTGTTATTTTTTATTTTTTATTTTTTTTTATTTCAATTTGCTAATATTTTACATTAATTTTTTATTTTTATATAATTTTTTATTTACAATAAAACAATGTAAAAAAATTAGTAATTATGTCGCTTTTATTTAACTTTTATTATAATTGTAATAACTTTAAAATATAAACAACTTAAAAATTATTGTAAAATAATAATAAAATTTAAAAAAAGAAAAAATAAGAGTCACGAGGACTCGAAGAATCGGTAAAATCATTGCCTGTATGCTCAACCACTGCGCCATCTCAAAGTAATTGAGATTTAGTTTTACAAAACTAAAGAATATTGCGTTGCATGTCAAAATAAAACAGCTATAATATGGACATTTTTAAAACATCTAAATGTAAATATACTTAGTACGTCCAATAATGTACATTTTTAAAACATACAGACGGCGTCATTAATTCGAAGAATAGGCGCGGGGATCACATAAAAAGTCCAGGTGATCCAAATATCCATTAGTCCCAAAATCGGGTGTCCACAACTGGACACCCGATTTTGGACACCCAATTGCTACTAGTTAGTTAGTACGGCGCCCGTTGGCGCTACGAACAACCGCCCCGCTTGCCCTCCGATCCCCGCGCCTATTCTTCGAATTAATGACGCCGTCTGTACATATAATGTTCATGGACGTTTGGACTAAATAAGACCCAAATTTGGACGTCCAATGGATGTTGTGTGCTGTCTATGTCTGGATAGTTAAAAAAAAAAAGCAATTGTTCGCACAGGTAATTACGGTAATCATCACAAACACACGGGTCAACAACATCGACATACCGGACCGTTTCCACCGCGTACGATGCCGCCACCCAACGTGAATCAACCACCTGGACCAACGCCCAAATTGCTCCAGAGCACTCCGTTAGCGAGATTGTCGCCTAGTAGCGAGCTATCCGCGCAACAACCGCGGATTCTCACGCTTCACGACATCAGTGGAAAACCGTTACAGAGCGCACTGCTTGCCACTACATCCTCGTCCGGCGGTGTCGGCAAGGACGCGTTAAATTCCAACAGCGAGAGGAGTTTGAACTCACCCATCATGAGTCAGCTGTCGGGTTCTACCGCAAGCAGAAAGGCTCCGCAATCCAACAACGAGAACTCGGTGAACAATGTTTCGTCGGGTCCGATGGGTCTAACAGCGGAGGAGATAGAACGGCTGAATTCGCGCCCGAGAACATCTAGTTTGGTCTCCACTCTCGACGCCGTAAGTTCCTCAAGTGAAGCGAGAGGCCCGCCAGCTCATGGACCTCTTCATCATCATCGACGTCACACGCCACCGGTAGAGAGGTTAGAGCGACGCAACTCGTCCACCACCGACGAGAGCGGTAACGACAGCTTCACGTGCTCGGAGATCGAATACGACAACAGTTCTCTCGTAGGCGATAAGCGGTCTGACAATTTGTTCGCTAAGCAGGATGATGAGGACAACGGTCCTCAGAGTAGAAATAATGTAGAATCGTCACAGTCGACGAAACCGCCGTTGCCACCGAATGTTGGCAATTACGATGGCTTCGACAGCTCGTTTCGAGGTTCCCTCAGCACCCTCGTTGCCTCAGACGACGATCTGTCGACCCACATGGGCGGTCTGCTTTACGGCAGTCACGCCAATAACGGCTCGCCCACCACAACCACCACAACCGCCGCCGAAGACGCTCTTGGCTGGGACTATTTGCTCAACTGGGGACCCAATTTCGAAAGTCTCGTTGGAGTCTTCATCGACATCGCCGAGTTACCGGATAGCACCAGTAGAGTGCCCAGATTGCCAGCGAACATTGCCAAACCATCCGAAGAATATGTTTAAGAAATTGAATCTCGTTCGTAGAAAAGAAAACTGAACTTCAGTGAGAATTGCATTTGAAAATTGTGCGCAGGGATTTATTATCGAAAAAAAAGTGTCGAATTGTTGCTTAGTTAACTAGTGATTTTTCATGGTCATTTTGTATAAATGGATATAATATTAGTTTTAACGACGATTACCAATGCGTTTTCAGCTTGGATAATAATCGTCGTGATTTTAAGTCATTTTATATGTCTTGAAAAAAAGATGCCAACAAAAAGTAGATTTTAAGTATTTGTGAAAAAAAAAAAAAAAAAGTCGTTGCAATATTTCGAAGTTGCCGCTAAGTGCAATTCACGACTGCAATTGGATGTCGCGTCGAACGCGCGTGATCATCTTGCCATAAAGTGTGTGAACTATTCTTCCTTGAAGGAAGTCTCGTTGTTTTTGTATATCGTGCCCTTTTTTTATTTTGCAAATTTTGTAAATATATGAAAATGATACGTGTGTTTAAATCGAAACAAAAATTCTTTCACGGACCGTGTAATTCTCAATCACATATGATCGTTCGAAACCACGAAAGAGATTATTTCTCATATAATTGATATTAATTAATTAATATTCAATCGAAATTTATACACAGAAAGATTAAAATTAATATTGTTGTGTATACATATATATTAAACGTAAATTAATATTTTCAATAATTAACAATAATATTAATTTTAATTGAATAGTTTTTTACAATTCTTGTTTTAAATATACACATTTTTTACTTTAAACGGACAAATATACATTTTTCACGCATTTCGATTGATCGTGCGCGATTTTAATAAATATGAAATACGATGACGCGCAAAATTACGTTGAAATACGATGTGCGACTTGGTTTTCGAGGCAGTTTAATTGACTGTTAATGTATATATATATATCTCAAAATAGTCGTGCCAGGTATGCTACTCGATACCGTCGCACACGTCATAATTATCGATCGAATGGCTAAATGACGTTTATATCACAATTTCGAGTAATTGTAACAGAGATCACAAAACTATATATATATATAGTTTATTTTATATATATAAAATAATATTGTGTACTACTTACCCAGATAGCCAACTGAGTGCAAGTTGTTGGCAACTTGCCACAAATGTTGCTCATATGTTTTCAGCAATGGAACAAAAGGGTGTATCCTCTTTTCGGTATGTTCTTGCCAGCAACAGTTTTCAAAAATATAACAACAGCAAGTTCCCAACAACTCATCGGCAATAAACTTCTATTATTTTTCTCAACTTGTGAATAAAAATTATTGCTCATATATTGCTCACATATTGCTGACTCACATGTCATAAACATTGGCACAACAATTGATTGATAATAAAACTCAGCATATTGATACTGAATTGACAAAAACATTTTCGTTGCGTTAAATAAAAACAATACAACAGCAATTGGCGAGCAACTTAATCTATACAATGATTTGTTTTATATTGAGTTTTCACATTTGGCTATCTGGGTTATATATATAGCTGCTTTCCGATGTTTTCTAGTATTGGAAATTTAAAGCGTCATGTGACGAGAGAAAAAAATAAAGATTTTTATCACTGACAGAATATCGGAACGCAATCCTATATATGTACGTTTACTGTGAAATTGCAACGCGGAGAAATTTCATGTGCCATTCGATTGAAATAGTGTATATCGATGAAAACAAAAACAATGTTTATAAGGTCAAGAGTTTCCTTTGTATTTCCTTTGTATTGCTAATATTTGGAGATGTATAGAAACGTCGTTGGGATTATCGGGCAATCGTAAAACGTCAAACACACGACGATAACACAATTCGCAGGGATGTCAATTCGTGCTCAATCCGCATTAATAAAAAAAAAAAAAAAAAACAAAAACGAGGAGGCGCCGTCGTAGCGTTCCTGAAAGTAGCTGCTGCTGCCGCCTTTGTGTAGCACGCTACCAGACTGATATTATTCTTCTTCCACTATATTTACACGATAAAAAGAAGCAATTTATCTGACGATTGTTTTATATATGTTTACGTTTATGTAAATTATGAAATTAGTTCTCAACTTGTAAATAAATGCGTGTTTAAGACGTTGTACAAAATGTGCGAGTGCGTGTGCGAATGCGAATGTTACTCCATTATCATTGAGCGTAACTTGTAATAAACGACAGATTTGTAAAAAAAAACTTGCTGTGTATTACTATTTATCTTTGTCCTTTCTTTTCCAATTTGATATAGTTACGTAAATCAAATATAATGTATGTTCACCCCGATAGGAAACCATTTACAAAATTATGTGACGAAATCTTGCGCTAAAATTGTAATTTGCAATTATACAGACATATTTTAGGAAATAGATGCAACAACATTGATCTTTTCTGAAATATTTGTAGTTGTTTGCAAAATTACTTTCCAAAATACTATTTCGGCAAAAGAATAACGATATGGCGAATCATCTTGGCGGTATATTTGCAAAATTAATTTCACAAAGAAATTGTCCGATAATTGAGAAAAAAAATTCTCAGCTATGTGATGTTTAAAATATGTAGAAATATGATTGCGTATGAAGAAATGCGAGAAATCGTCGTCGCTCATGATGTCATATTTGTGCAATATTTTCACAACTCGCCTATCGGAGGTATATACTGTGAAAATGCATAACGACTTTTTCGCAATTGTTGACAAATATTATTGACAAAATTTTATTTCGACAAAACTGTTGCGTTATGGCGAATCATCTTAGTGCAATCCTTGCAAAATCGTCGCCATTCATGATGCCATTTTTGTGCAATATTTTCACAAATGTGTCTATTGGGGTAATAATATATAGTTTTATATTCTAGCGATACATTTTGTACCATTGTTATATACATATATTCACATATATATACAAGGTGTCCCAGAATTGGTGTGACATCTCTCGTAGACAGGTAGAAGGAGTAAAACTGAGTCGAAAAGTCCTGAATCATTTTTTTCTATTATTTATAACAAAGAAGTAATTTTATTGAGTAAATCAGACCAATCACCGCCGACCTTTGGCCAGGCACACGTCAGTGAGCCACGCGCCTGGTGTGTGAGCGCTCCACGCGGCGCTGATTGGTCTGATTTACTCAACAATTACTCTTTTTATTATAAATAATTAAAAAAAATGATTCAGGACTTTTCGACTCAGTTTTATTCCTTTTACCCTGCCTAAGAGAGATGTCACACCAATTCTGGAACACCCTGTATATGTATACATATGTGTCGAGAAATCGAAAAAACGAGTCTTCGATCTTCATCTCTTGAGATACTTCGAGATATTTTTGTCAAAACGCATTGCGAACACGAGCAGTAATACGAGAGAAAAAACGCGAAAGAGTTTATCTCGAGTTTCTTTTTAGTATTTGTCGGGCTAACGGAATCCGATTAATTGATTATAATGAATAGATAATGATATCTCAACTTCCGTCATACGACGACGAGCTTCTGAATAGCGCCTATGCAAACATCAGTTTGATCGCCGACGAGGCTTGGGCTTTTGACCCTGAAGATTCTTTCCGAAAGTTAAATCATTCGCTTTGGATTCAAGTGAGAAACGCAACACAAATATTTTTCATTGTTGCAACAAACAGTCAAAATGTTAGGTTTTTTATTCATCGCGCGCGCGTATTCATTTTATTCTTAACTCTAAATATACTTTATTTATCGATGTTTAAAAATTCTTCGTTTTTCTTAAAAAAAAAAAAAAAGAAAAGAAAACAAATCGTCAGTTTTTAAACTTAGTGGAAATAAAAATTTATCTAAGAATTTATAATTGCTTAAAGTAAAAAATCTCGAATTTGCTGTAATTTAAAAATTTATCTAGCTTATTTTCACATAAATGACCCAGATAGCCAAATGTGAAAACTCAATATAAAGCAAATCATTGTATAGATTAAGTTGCTCGCCAATTGCTGTTGTGTTGTTTTTATTTAACGCAACGAAAATGTTTTTGTCAATTCGGTATCAATATGCTGAATTTTATTATCAATCAATTGTTGTAGCGCCAATGTTTATGACATGTGAGTCAGCAATATGTGAGCAATATGTGAGCAATAATTGTTAGTCATAAGTTGAGAAAAATAATATAAGTTTATTGCCGATGAGTTGTCGGGAACTTGCTGTTATTATATCTTGTAAACTGTTGCTGGCAAGAACATACCGAAAAGAGGATACACCCTTTTGTTACATTGCTGAAAACATATGAGCAATATTTGTGGCAAGTTGCCAACAACTTGCACTCAGTTGGCTATCTGGGGATAACCCTATTCTTAATGATTTTGTTTGTTTGTTTGTTTGTTTTTTTTTTAATTTAAACTTATTCTTACTATCAGAGTTGCGAAGTAATTGCAAAGTACAAGGAAAATAGTGATTATAGTCCAAAACTGGTCCGAGACGTCATTTCCGAATCGCGTTTAGCAAAGTACGGTAATTATGAGTACAACGAGCAACACGAAAATATGTACAAACCGGACGACGATAAATTGTCCGGTAGCAGGCTCTGCCACTTCCATTCGGGCGCAGAAGCTACGGAACCCTGGATGCTGTCTGAAGTTCAAAAACACTTCGCCCGGTTAATCTCACCAAGCTGCACGCGATTGTATCGGGAACCGTTAGTTTCACTTCGCCACGCATTTTATTACACTTATTTCTGTTTTCCGTAATTTTCTTCAAAAAAAAAAAAAAAAAAAACGCAGCAGATACTCCACACACTGTGCAGTATAAATTGCCATTTCTTTACGTCACAGAAATTTAAAACAAGTGAATAATATTGTGATAATATATTGCGTATACTATTGTGATTGTGATTGTGATTTTAAAATATCGCGTTAAATGACGTGCAATTTGCAAAGCTCAGCAATATCAATACTGAAGTGTAACAGCTTGAAGAAGGAAAGCGAGAGCGCGAACGTTTGTACGAACTTTCAATCGGATTTGAACGAGAGCGGGAAAAAACAGAATGAAAACTTCAACCCGAAAGAGAACCGCAAATTCGAACTACACAGCAAATCGGTCTCGACTCATAGTTCACACGAAGATGGTAAGCAGTACTGTTACCGTCTAAATTCATAGCGACGATAAATAATAAGAAAATATGAACAAGGTCATAAGAGCCGTTTTTGCAGGATGTGTGCTGAAATATATATATATATATATATATATATACATATACAGGGTGTCCCAGAATTGCCGTACAATCTCTCGTAGGCAGGTAGAAGAAACAAAACTGAGTCGAAAAGTCCTGAATCATTTTTTTCTATTGTTTATAATAAAGGAGTAATTATTGAGTAAATCAGGCCAATCAGCGCCGACTTTTAACCAGGCGCACGTCAGTGACCTGCGCGGAGTGCTCACACACACACACACCAGGCGCGTGGCTCCGCGCTGATTGGCCTGATTTACTCAATAATTACTCTTTTATTATAAATAATAGAAAAAAATGGTTCAGGACTTTTCGACTCAGTTTTGTTCCTTCTATCTGCCTACGAGAGATTGTACGGCAATTCTGAGACACCCTGTATATGTGTGTGTGTGTTCACATGTAAATTTTTACACGTGCGTTTTTGAAATGAAATTTCAATTCTTCAAGGACGTTCTCCGAATTATTGATTTTCCTAGGATTTTCTTTAAATTTGCGATATACATAGTTTATGATCTTATTTATACGTAGCCTTTTTGGATAATAGGGGTAGCAATGTTAAATTCCAAAATATGGAAGATTTAAGTTTCAATTTTTAACATGGATTTCCTATGCTGAGCCTTTCGTGAAGTGGGGTTTTTTCAAGTTACTGACGACAATTTTTGTAGGATTTTTTTAAAAAACAAGTATGTGGCAGCGGAGAGTGTCCTAATTAAAATACGATTTTGAATAATATGGCAAGCAACCCTTCTTTTCAAACTGTAGCTTTTTTTTGGTTTTTTTTTTTTGGTTTTGCTGGATTTACGTGCGCTGTGTACTGCAGCTATTTTTGAACTTCTGCGCAGAGTAAGCTGGTCTTAGCAGTGTTGAATAGCTCAACTTAACTTTGTTACAGCAGTACAAACTTACTCACGAGAAGAGATATTTTAGGTTGCTAATCACTGTAGTCGGAGAACGTCCTCAAAACCATACAGAAATAAAAGTATATTTCAGCATAACATCCTGCAAAAACGGGTCTCTTATGACCTTATTCATATTTTCTTAGTTAAGACTTCAGAGCCTTAAAGTTTCTTTAATTAATAAATAATAAGTATTGTTATTTGAAAAAATTTTATAATTATTATAAATTATTTTCTCTTCGCAACAAACATTTCCTTTAATATTAATGTTTAATTTAAAAATATTAATATATTAAAAATAATATATTAAAATATATATTAAATATATATTAAATAATATATTAAAAAAGAAATTCAATTCAATTTATATAAATTTTTACATAAAACTTAAAACATTACATTTTTTATTCTTTTTTTCTTCATATTTTAATGTTATCAGGACCGCGCGAGAAATCAGGAAAATCAGTCGCCTATCATCGTCGATACGTCGTCGAGACTATCGCGGAGATCAAGCTGCAATCTCGCATCGAGAGCGTGCGTGACATATGGAATCCCGAGAAGTTCCATCAACAACGCCAGAACCAGCAGTCGCGTGTCAATCGGACGCAGACGTGGCCTCACGCCGCTCATCAGAATCAGCAACTCTACTGCACGTTGCAGTATCAGCCTTTGATTCTGAGATCGGAGTATCAGAGTAAATCGTTGCAGTCGCCGCAGCCAACGACGCCCGTTTTGAGCGCCGAAGTGCCGGAATTCTTTCCCAAGTCAAACCCGCCGCCGATAGTTTACGGATTGAACGGCGAAAAAGAGCGCAGGGCTTGCCAAATACGTTACTTCCCATTGCTAAATGACAGAAATTACCAGAACGAGTTGTTCCCTTACAGCAGACTGCAGCACGAGACCGCCACAACGACCGTTTTTCCGGTCGGACCTTCTGTATTTGAACTTCTTTCAACAAACAAATTTTTTTCTTCAGCGATTGTCAATTATTTGTTCCGTTCCGTGATTCTTGTGTCTACAGAATGCCAGAATGTCCATCTTACCAGCGGCAAACGTGTTCCGTTCGTCGCAGGAATGGATTCACAGAGTCACGTCATCGCCGATGCAGTTGCAGTTGGCGGCCACCTCCTCGCCAACCTTGCAGATCTGCACGTCGCTACAGCCGGTTCACGACGCCGCGGCGGTCCCGGCTTATCGTCCTCTGCAGATATACGAGAAATGTTTATCCTACACTCAACCGAATCCGATGACGCCCATACCCGTGTATCAGCGACCGATGGAACTGTATCAGGAACCGGTGCCGAAGCGAAAGAGTCACGGAGTTGACTTCAACAATCTCATATTACTAACGAAGAACAAGACACGACGTAATGTTCATTCGAAGAGCATCAACGTTCAACAACCCTGTTTACTCAAGTCCAAGCAAAATTTGAGAACTTCTTCCGGTCACAATGTGCAAGTGCGCTTGCTCAACAAGGATCACCGCGCGACAAAAACAAAAGAAATTGTGGCTGTAAACGCGCTGATGTCCGAATTACATAATTTCGAAGAGAAATACGAGCGCGGCAGAGGCGCCAGTTGGAAAACCGTTTCCAATTCGTTTCAAAGTCAGCAGAGGCCGTTGGAAACTTTGAGATCGGAGAAGGACGGAATATTCGGAAGTAAAAGTTCAAGATACAAAATCTTGAACGCCGAGGAAAAAAACAAGAGAACAAGGCGGCCGCTTTACAGAGATGTTGTGGCGAACACCTCAAGTGAAGAAGTAGTTTCGGATAACGTCTTTGAAAAGAGGTATATCAAAAGCTTCGTCGGTTTAGTTGAGAAACTTTTACACAGAGTAATCTTAATAAATCGCAAATGTTTTTTTTTTTAATTGAAAAAACTTAATTGCTTGTTTTTAAATATTTTTCTGATTATCAGATATGACGAGCTCGAGCAGCAAGCGATAGAACAATATAGAAACTCGGAGGAGTCGCTGGCGCTCAAATATCAGGCAACGATCTAAAACTATTGGATATATTGTAAAAATAGATGAAAAAAAAATATTAGATTAACACGTTCACGCCGGGGCGAAAATCTACGTTTTTTTGCGTGAGGAGGGACTGTCTTATCTCCTTACGCTTTGTGGGGCGGGGCACACTGTTCCGTGGGGCGAGTGTGACCCACCGGTGGGTCACGCCGCCCCACGGAATAGTCAAGTGTGACCCACCGGTGGGTCACGCCGCCCCACGGAACAGTCAGGTGTGACCCACCGGTGGGTCACGCCGCCCCACGGAACAGTCAGGTGTGACCCACCGGTGGGTCACGCCGGCGTGAACGTGTTAATAGATTTTTTTTTTTTAAATAATTTTTAAACGAGGATAGACCCCAAGTTCAGCGTAGAAAATCAATTGTAGTGGCAAAGTAGGCGTGACTGAACGGTTTTTTGAAGGATGTTTTGCAGGTAAATATTATTCAAAATGCGATTTTATGTCCCAAACGTTTCGACTATATTTTAAGTCATCCTCCAGTGGGAACTCAGAATAAACAATAATTCACATCATATAATTACAGTCAAATTATATGATGTGAATTAGGAAGGAAGGAAGTTTAATTGATTCCCCTCAGGGTTACGATATTTTTCAACACTCCACTTCTATATCCACGATCCATTTGTATCCACGATCTATTCGGAGGCCCGATTCAGTTCGCTTTTCAATCGATAAACTCGACTTGAAAGAGACCGGCCCGGAAAAATCCGACGGTGTGGATTCGAACTCGGGACCTCCCCACTCGCAGCCCTCGCACTCAGGCCGCGAGACCACTGGGCCGGTCATTATATGATGTGAATTATTGTTTATTCTGAGTTCCCACTGAGGATGACTTAAGGACGTTCTCCGACTACAGTGGTTAGCAACCTAAATACAGTGGTTATCAACCTAAAATATCTCTTCTCATGAGTAAGTTTGTACTGCTGTACCAAAGTTAAGTTGAGCTATTCAGCACTGCTAAGACCCGCTTACTCTGCGCAGAAGTTCAGAAATAGCTGCAGCACACAGCGCACATAAATCCAGCAAAACAAAAAAAAACCAAAAAAAAGCTACAGTTTGAAAACAAGGGTTGCTTGCCATATTATTCAAAAATCGTATTTTAATTAAGACACTCTCCGCTGCCACATACTTGTTTTTTAAAAAAATCCTACAAAAATTGTCGTCAGTAACTTGAAAAAACCCCACTTCACGAAAGGCTCAGCATAGGAAATCCATGTTAAAAATTGAAACTTAAATCTTCCATATTTTGGAATTTAACATTGCTACCCCTATTATCCAAAAAGGCTACGTATAAATAAGATCATAAACTATGTATATCGCAAATTTAAAGAAAATCCTAGGAAAATCAATAATTCGGAGAACGTCCTTAAAATATACTCGAAACGTTTGGGACATAATCGCATTTTGAATATTATTTACCTGCAAAACATCCTGCAAAACCGTTCAGTCACGCCTACTTTACCTCTACAATTGATTTTTTTTTTTTTTAATAAAAAAATTGGCAAACATTTTAAAAAGCATTTAGAATTATAAATTCTTAGTTTATAAAATCCACAGTTCGCTATGATTAAATATTTTTCTTTTATTCTTTCATTTATTCTTCTTTGTATTAGAATATCACAAACTGACATACTGAATCGTAGGAATTGGAACGTCAAGCGATGGAACAATATGGAAATAGCAACACAGCAGATGAGAAGCATTCGACATCTTCAGACGAACAATATTGTTTCGATGGACAACAATGTTCGGGATATGGACAATGTAGTCCGTCGAGAAAACGAACAAAGTGGAAAGGTATATATCGTGTTGTTCACACACTTGAAGTTGCTATAAATTTCTGCACAGTAAATAGAATTAAATACCCTAATAGGCACATTTGTGAAAATATTACACAAAAATGGCATCATGAATGGCGACGATTTTGGCAATGATTGCACTAAGATGATTCGCCATAACGCAACAGTTTTGTCGAAATAAAATTTTGTAAATAATATTTGTCAAAAATTGCGAAAAAGTTGTTATGCATTTTCACAGTATATACCTCCAATAGGCTAATTGTGAAAATATTGCACAAATATGACATCATGAGTGACGACGATTTCTTGCATTTCTTCGTATGCAATCATATTTCTACATATTTGAAACATCACATAGCTAGAATTTCTTTTCTCAATTATTGGACAATTTCTTTGTGAAATCAATTTTGCAAATATACCGCTAAGATAATTCGCCATATCGTTGTTCTTTTGCCGAAATAGTATTTTGGAAAGTAATTTTGCAAACAACTACAAATATTTCAGAAAAGATCAATGTTTTTGCATCTATTTCCTAAAATATGTCTGTATAATTGCAAATTACAATTTTAGCGCAAGATTTCGTCACATAATTTTGTAAATGGTTTCCTATCAGGGTAGTAATCATTTTCCGATTAAAAACTATTTTTTTTTAATAAAGTAAAAATTTGTTGTAATTTTCTATAGGTTCTTGTTTTCCACAAATTGCTCTCTTAAAGCCGAAAGGTAAATCTTTGCCGAATGTATTTCACGGATCATCGTACGACGACAGTAATCAGCATTCAGCCATTGTTTCGAGAAGTTTGTCCGCATTAAATGACAGATCCTTAAAGGAATCGAAAAACATATGTAAGGGTGCATCAGGAGATAAAATCGACACAAGTGGTAAAACTATTATAATATTACGAGAGAATGATAAAAATTAAAAAAAAAAATCATTTTTAACGCTTGGTACATCTTATTCGCAATAAATAACAGAAAGATTTTGAAATCGCGACTTAAATATCATTATTGTTGATTTTTTAAACTTTCAGTTCAAACTTTGTCAAAGCGGCATCTGATACTGATGTCACCCTTTGAGCGCCGATCAGATGCCAGACGAATGATGAAAGCGACAGATCTGCGAGAAATTTGTTCGATCTCTCGAGCGAAAAAAAACGTTTTGGATTATTACCGTGATTCTGAAATTGTTCAAAATGGAAGCGGCGACGAAAATATAACAATCCTACAATCACCCAACACAGAAGGTAGACGTGATATCTTCATCTTTTTCCTATCTTTTCTTCCCTCTCCCTTCATTTCCTAATTCTTTCTTAAATCAATTATGTTTCATAAATTATTTTGTATTGCAAGCAAAAACAAAAACAAATACTATTTTTGTAGTCTGGTTGTCCGGATTTTGGACTACTTGATTGAACGAATTTTCTTGAGAAAAACGAAGTGTTTGAGAATTGGGCTCGACAAAGTTTCAAGATCGAGAAGTAAAATCATGTTTCTCTTGATTCTGCAATACAATAATTGATAATAAAACATATAATTGTTTTTTAACCCTTTGCACTCGAGGCCTTTTTCGCTCGCACGATTTCCAGCAACTCGAGACGATTTCGGCTATATTAGAGAAGCATTTTAACAGGTACTTTAAAATCATTTATACTCAAACAAACGTATACAAATAATAAAATTTCACTAATTTATTTATTTTTATATATTGAATATAACAAAAGTAGACGCCGCTCGAGTAGACGCTTCAAATCCGGGCCGGGCGCCGCTCGAGTGCAAAGGGTTAATATTATAGGAATATTATAGAAATATGTGAAATATACGAAGAGAGGAATGTTATATATAATATACACGTTATGCGTTCACATGAGATACACATAGTTTTTTTTATATACAATCGACACAAAACGTTACACAATCTTTGTATTATAATATAATATATACTGCTTGTATATATAAATAATTGTTGACCAAAATAATTTTACAAAAGAATAATAACGATATTTATTTGTATAAGCAAGCACTATATATGTATATATATGTAATATATGCTGTATTGGATATTAAAAAAACAAATATACGAGATACATCTTAATATACTTTATATAGGTTTACAATATAAAAAAGATATATAGAGCGTTCAAATTTTCGGTCGGTGGTATATTTTGTATTAAAATTTATAAAAAAAAAAAACTTAGTAAAATTTTAATCGTTCAATTTTAATCAGATGTGATCATAAGATATAGGAAATAAAATAAATCTAGTGAGAGAATATTGTTTATATTCGTGAAAGTATTTATTGTTATAACTGTTATATTTACATGTGCAAAAGTTTCCGGCACTTAATATATTTTTGACCTACAGTAGGATTCCAATAGTTTGTTTGCAAATAGTATCCATAGACGTATAATATTATATAAACTGCGCGTTTGGCTGAAAAGATGTCTTTGTCGGTGACAAAGACAACATACTTTGAACAGTAACTCTTATCTCTGTCTATCAATGTCTGTGGTGGGATCAGGGCTTGCTATTTCATATATACCTGCCATCACCTCTTTAATCTCTTTCATTCCTCTTCATCCCCACTATTTTTCCATCCCTACTTTCTCACTACTGTTCTATCAATCAGCGAAAACTTCTTTTTCCCCCACCACTTTGCTAGACAAAGATGAGGCTACGGCTGTCTCTCTCTCAACGTTGAAGACATTTTCTTGGCTGCGTTCCATTTCACGCATATGCGCGCGTTTATCTATAGTACACGTCTAGTATAGTATAGATAAATGCGCGCATACCGACTACAGTGGTTAGCAACCTAAATACAGTGGTTATCAACCTAAAATACCTCTTCTCATGAGTAAGTTTGTACTGCTGTAACAAGTTAAGTTGAGATCTATTCAGCACTGCTAACACCCGTTTACTCTGCGCAGAAGTTCAAAAATAGCTGCAGTACACAGCGCACAAAAAATCCAGCAAAACACAAAAAAAAAAAAAAACAAAGCTACAGTTTGAAAAAAAAAAGGATTGCTTGCCATATTATTCAAAATCGTATTTTAATTAAGACACTCTCCGCTACCACATACTTGTTTTTTAAAAAACTCCTAAGAAAATTGTCGTCAGTAATTTTAAAAAACCCCACTTCGCAAAGGCTCAGTATAGGAAATTCATGTTAAAAATTGAAACATAAATCTTCCATATTTTGGAATTTAACATTGCTACCCCTATTATCCAAAAAGTCTACGTAAAAATAAGATCATAAACTATGTATATCGCAAATTTAAAGAAAATCCTAAGAAAATCAACAATTCGAAGAACGTCCTTAACATGGTAAAGGTAAAGGGAACGCGCAATCTATATATTATACGTATTTGATAGTACCGCGTTCATAACACTTAGTTCGTATACTGAGAAAAAAATACTATTAACTCAACTAAATGCGTTTAGTTGAATTTCAGTTTGTTATCTGAAATACTTGGTTTTTTAATTCAAGCATATGGTAATGAAGATAACAAATTCGTATAAGTTGAATTAACAATAGTGGTAATGAACATATTTAATTCACTAAACCATGAATTGTTTTGTCAAACATAAGTTGTGATAATTTCAAATAAAAGATACTGTTTAAAAAAGATGAAATAGGCAATTCTCATTTACTTTAATTGAATATAATCTGAATTTCTTTGTACTAAGTATTTCATTTAATCAAACTGCTTATTTTTATAAGCAGACAAAATATTGTGTTGTCCTATTGTGTTGTACATTCAAAGTTACCTGTATTTGAGCAAATTAATAATTTTGTCAAAACAACTAAATTGTCTTTCGGTATAATCTAATTATTATATCTATCGAAACATGATATCTTCTTACATTAATCAATATTTTATTGACAGCCCGTGACCGCTGCATATAGTTGAATCGAATACTATTTTGTTACTTCACCAACTTTTTTTTCTCAGTGTAAGAAGTTGTCGAAACATAAACACAGCTCGGCTATAAGTAAATCCAAATTCGTGATAAGAGAGTAATTAAATTTTCAGAAGACAGAAAGTCTTCTCGCGAGATCGCATCACTTCATTATAGATATATAAATCAACTGTAGATGATATTATTGGTAAATATTAATGCTGGATATAGTTTAAAAAATCGCCCCTATAATGGAAAGCTACGAAAAAGAATTATAAAAAATCTTTAAAAGTTTAAAATAAAAAGATCACATCATTAAACGCAAATTACACACACACACACACACACACACAATTGCGAATATCAAGAAATCTGCTGCCGAAATTGCACGCAAGCTAGGGTAAAAGACCCAATTACTGTCACCTGAATAATAAACTCTGACGTTAGTGAATTGTTTTTACTACTTATTTATCAAAAACATAAGTTTTTCTTCTTATCTGGTATTATTCGATGTCTCTAATATAAGAAACAAAATAATACCGCCTCTCAAAATCTCTATTTTTTTATTTATAAATTTAATAATTAAAAAAGAACAATGCGAGAGCTATTACTGTCACCCCCTAAAATGAAAGAAATGAGACAAGAATGTTGAGTGCTGGATTTTTTGTTATATTAATTGCACTTAAAATTCTAGATTGTTAGATTGTTTTCATGCATAACTTTTTAGGATTTATTTAATATTTTAAATAAAATAGCTTAGGGTGACAGTAATTGGGTCTTTTACTCTATAGGATGAAATTGCTAATTGTCAGCCATAGTACTGACACGAAGGCTACACGATGTAGGATTTTTGGCCATTATATAGATATTAAAAAATCATTAGCCAGTAAGAGGAATAAGAAGGTCCGATTACACAATTTGCCAAAGAATAAAAACATTGATGTCCGTCAAAATTGGACATCAAAAATTGGAAAAAATAGCTTTTTCAAATAAATCTAAATTTAATCTCTTTGAAAGCAACAGTGGACATGTACGACGTCCTATTGATATCAGAAATGACGTACCGAATTTTTATTATAAAGTACGCTAAGGAAGGCGTTAGATGGTTTGGTCGGAGTTTTCTCGGAAGTTTTATCTGTATAACGGCCGATTTCTTCATACCTTTCGATAGCTATCCTCTGGATAAATTCCTCTGAGAACCAATAACAGCCAATGTTTTCACTTCTAGATAAGTTTTCGATAACTTTATCTAGAAGATATCTCCCAAAATTGGTTCTCCTTATTGGTTCTCAGAAGAACCTTATTAGTTCTCCTTATCCAGAGGATAGCTATCGAGAGGTATGAAGAAATCGGCCGTAAGGAGAACCAATTTTGGGAGATATCTTCTAGATAAAGTTATCTAGAAAACTTATCTAGAAGTGAAAAAATTGGCTGTAAGAGGTGATCCGCTTGTCAACGAGATCACGAACGCTGCTGTTCACAAGGACAGTATAGAAAAAAATTTGTTAACATATGCTGAAGAAATATCGCAGATGATTAGATATTTCAGCAGGATAATGACATCAAACACACATCAAACTTGTTAAAGATATCCGCTTAGTTATCAATGTTACAAATGTAAGAATTTTAAGCCAATCACCGGATTTGACCCCGATTGAACTCGTAGGAAGATCGTCAAGTTCGAAAGCGTACACATTCAAATAAAACCGCATTATTCAAATCGTTTTTAAAGAAAGAACAAGGGATAAACTTCCACACGCCTCTGCTAATCAATTAATTGAATCGGTGTCACATCGTTATGCCGCTGATCGCTTTTGTATGGCCATAAAAATATTGACATTAAAACATAATGTAAATTAAAAACTTGAAGTGGAAACGGCCAATGTGAGCCTGGGACACAGTTAGTAATGTATTTGTTAGTAATATATTTTTTGGTAAAAAATCTCTTTATTTAACGTTTCGATCCCTGGTTGGGATCCTCTTCAGAAATAACAAAAAAAATAAAAATAAACAAGAAATAGTTGTGTGTCAAGTTGACCTCCAGGTTCAGAAATAAATAAATGGTGTCCAGGAAAGAGGCGTTACTGAACAATATGCTAGATGNTGTGCAGATGTGTTATATTTTGAAATAATTAATACAGACGTTTCGACTATACATTTTTAGTCTTCATCAGTGCTCATTTAATATCATTCC